GGGGGGTTTGTTCCTGAAAATCAGATAGGGGAAAAAGTTTCTCCTGTTCATTTACTTCAACCCATTTCAAACAGGGGTTCCCCACGTGATTTGGAACAAGTTCTCATGTGTTTGAACCAGCGTTCCCCGCCTGATTTGCAACACGTCCTTGTGGAGATTTTGGATAACCCATACAACAGACTTTAAGGAAATAATACATTGTCCCAACAATGATAGAGGTTAATGGAGAAAAAAGATTGCACCAGAAAAGCTCAGATACCGTATGCTACAGAAAATAAGTATACCTTGCTACTGTAATGCATTCCATCAGCTTTTGCTGATTTAGCTGTTGAGGAAGCTCCACTATCTGAGATTTGAGGTTGACAAGTTCGAATATTCTTAACACTGCCAAAGAAGAAAGCAGCATGATAATTCAATATAACTTTAGCAAGCTGCTGAAGAACATGCAAACAAAATCATTTAACACTTGTACCTCCCAACAGCAGAAAATATCTTCATGAGGTTTTGGTGGCAATGATCCTCAGGTAAGTTCTCCGCAATTACTATGCGAGACTGACAGTGGGCAAGTAAAACAAGCAGCATGCAAGGATTAAATGCATTGGTTTGTAAGTCAATAACATATTGTGGACACTGGGATGGAACCATCCCACATGTTGTAACATGAAACAGAACCAATGCACAAGGTTTTAAATTTTTATTAAAAAATAAAATATATACGTATAACTACTTTTACAAAATTGATTAAAACGTTATTTTAAAAATAAAAACAAACAAATAAACAAACCCTACTTGCAGCTCCTCCATATCTGACTCAGAAAGTGGTTGCTTACGTTTGACTTTCTTTCCATCTTCACTAACCATCTACAGCATATTGAAACAAAAAACAGGAGGTGGACAACCAGAAAGAGAATTGAGAATAACTCAAGAACAACAATGGTAAAGAAAGATGCTTACAATATCACAAATAAAATACTCACAAGCTTAGAAGAGTTCCGTAAAATATTGGCTAGCTGAGAGTGACTATTGATGAGAGCCTTAATCTTCTTGAATGATGCAACAACCGATATGGGCACTGAATTAAAATGGACCTTACCAGGTGAAGTGTTTTGGAGGGAGAGATAGAAAAAGAAGTTCGGTTGTCTAATTCTAAGTGGTCATTCTAAATTTTCATTATGTTGTAAATTTAATCAAAAGAATCCACCTGTGGTGGGATGGTAAAAGCAGGAGTTCCACACATTAACGGAATTCAAATAAAGATGCCAAGAGAGGATCTTACCATATCCATCGGGATCTTTATTGATGAACCTCATCAAATGATCAGTTGTTGTCAAATTTAAATCACTGAAATAATATTCCACCTAAAAACCATGATTTTACAAAGAATTCAATAAGCAAATAAGGTTAAATAAAAAGTAGGCATAGAGAGTAATATCCAATTCATATTGGGAATTGGAAAACATAGCAGAAGTACCTAACCTACTAAATCAACCATTCAACTTTTTAATTAATAACGACTGTAAATGTCCTGCAAACTTATATGCCTTTCTACTAATTTCAAAGCATACTCGTAGAAAAGTAATATCCTAAACTGATGGTCACAAACATTGAAATTTCTGATTCCAAAGTCATCAAAGAGAAATGCCAAAACTACCACAATATTTAAACTGATCTTTGCTGAGAAGGAATTGTGAGCACCAAACGCTTTAAGGAATAATCCAACTAACTAAAATTGACAATCATCAGTAACCGCCAAAATAAATTTACTTCAATAACAACAGAAGTAAAAGCCAGGGACTGAATGACAAAAACCTCAAAATGTTGGATTTTATTGACACAGCAAGTACTATAATTGGGAAAATTTCAGCTTCAAGATCCTTAAGACGACAATTACTAGCTGCTTTGGTATTTATTGATGACAAGAAGATTTAATTTTTAATCAATTTCCAAATGTAAGCAGTAGTTTGCCAGTAACGAAGGGCAGTAGTTAAATTATCTTCAACGATACCAACATCCACACAGTTATACAAACGATTGGAGCAGCACCTCCAGACTAAGAAGACAAATAAGTGATGCAACTCCTTGTTTTAAGAATTACATCATAACCTTGAGACAGAAAGGACAGTTCACCACTAAAGCAACTTCAAAATAAGGATATCCAAGTACTTTTATCCATTGTTCCACAGCCCTCTTCCATTTCCATTTTTTTGACTTAGTGTCAGGTCATAGGAACAGAAGAGACGTCATTAGGTACCTACTCAAATCATCGCTTCTGAGTGCTATATAATAAATGTAGAATATTCACTTCCGAGTGAATATCCATCTGACAGCTTTAAAGTGTCCTTTCATGACATCACCTTTCATGTGACTTGCCCCCAAACAATTAGTTTTATGGATATTCTTCAATGGAAAGTCGTCCTCCAGCTATCAACATAGTTTTCTTCAGTAGATAAATGATCCAAAGTGTGTGTTATGGTGGTTATTATGTTAACTATCATCCCAAAAAACCAATTGAGCCTTCCAAAACATCAGCGTATTTAAGTAATTATATAATCTTGGATTCTAGATGCCATCGTCATTTAGGGGGTAAATAGGGATGTGTTTTGAGTGAGGGTTTAGATTCAGGTGACATGTTTACTACGTTAGTTTGCCAAGCTTGGAGTTTATTGGATAAACTCATGGGCTTCAATGATGTCCCAAACCTATTCCCCAAGTCCTGTCCCCCACACAGTTTTCCTAAACCTAGGTTTTCACCAGCACCTTAAACATAATTTCTTCTTCTTTTTTTTCTTCTCAAAATGCCCCCACATGCCTAGAGTGTGCTCAACATGTCTCTACCAATTCGTCTTGTGAGTCCCAAATTGTCTGAAATTTGGACAAGTTAACAAAAAAAAAAAAATGAAAAACCTGCTCCAAATCACATGTAGACATGGGTTTGAAGTGTATCAATGCATACACGTCCAACAGCAACACTTTGGACATGAGAGAGTCTCCACAGCTCCTATCCTACTAAAATTGATCGAACGGGAATTGTCCATGCTCGGTGCACATGAGGACCAATGAACCTTTTGTGTCTGTTCAATGTCGTATGCAATAAATAGTTTGTTTCCAATTTTTTTGACCATCATATTTAGCTATGCCTAGTTTACCATTTATCAACAGTCTCAAGCAAACAGAAATTTTGCAGATATCGACAATATTCGTACAACAGGAAAGGGGAATCCAGAACAAAATTCCCAGCGAGTTCTAAAGACCTTTCAAGTAACCATGACTTCCAGCTAACTCAATGTGTGCCTAAAGAAACAACAGAATTCGCTGGATCAAAACACAATAGCTCCATAAGTTACGGTGCTTCATAAATTAACCCACGCAGCAAATCCATACAAATTCGACAGATGAATATGAAACTCAGCTTCATACCAAAGTAATTATTGAAGAAGCAAGCAGATAACAAACTGTTGACATAGAGAGAAGAGAATAAACATAGAGGATCTAGTCAAAAGAAGAAAGCAACCTGATTCAAAAGCTTTAAAGAAACGTCCTCAGCGAGTTTACTTCTAGATGGAGCAGCATAATCAGTCTCAACCTGAGGCTTCTGAGCTTGCTGCACGACCGTGTCCGGGTCATGAAATCCGCCATTGTCGGCATAATACTGAGGATTATGAGGGTGATAAAGCACAGGAACATGATGGGAATGATGGTGGTGACGATGATGACGATGATAGTGATGATTCTGAAGAGAAACCACATGAGTGGGGACAGGGACAGGGCTCTGAATGGGAACATGGAAGGGAGATCCCGGGGGAGGGGGAGGATAAACATGCATCATAGCCGGCGGAGGAGGCGGAGGAGAAGGGATCAGAATCCGAGGCGATTGCTTGGGCGGAGGAGGAGCAGGGCCAGCGGCGGAGTGCGGCGGCTGTTGTAGATCGGAACGAGAGGATGGGCGAGTGGGAACGAACTCAGGAGCCTGCGCGTTGAGACGACTGAGAGAAGAGTTGCGAGATAGAGATGGATCGGATTGGGAAGGGGAAAGGGAAGAGGAGGAAGAATGTTGAGCCATCTGGTGGAAGGAAAGGGATGGCTATGGAGTTCGAGATCGAGTCCGAGAAGGACAGAGAGTGTCCTCTGCCTCTGACAACGAAGAACAAGGAGAAGACGAAGAAGAAATTTTTTAATATATATATATAATTAAATCTAAAATAAAATTAAAATTAAAATTAAAATAAAAAACCCAGTGAGGGCGAAGAAGGCCACTGAGGTCTGAGGGAGAAGATTTCTCGATTCAAGAGAATCACTTCACCACTATTTATACTACTTTTTCTTCCTATCCTTGGCCATTCTTTTTTTTCCATTAACATAAATAAATATTCTCAAATTATTTTCTTTTAAATAAATTTCCTTTTTTTTTTATAATTTTAGTCCATCGACTCATAACGAACCTAAGAGAGTAAGAAAACGACTGTAACGACCTAAATCCACCAAAGGGTGTTTTGTTCTCCTCCCCAACCGATGTGAGACATCACAATCCACCTCCCTTCAAGCCCAACGTCCTCGCTGACACTCGTTCCTTTCTCCAATCGATGTGGGACCCCCTCCAAATCCACCCTCTTCGGGGCCCAGCGTCCTTATTGGCACACCGCCTCGTGTCTACCCCCTTTCGGGGAATAGCGAGAAGGCTGGCACATCATCCGGTGTCTGCCTCTAATACCATTTGTAACGCCCTAGGGCCACCGGTAGCAGATATTATCCTCTTTGAGCTTTCCCTTTCGAGCTTCCCCTCAAAGCTTTAAAACGCGTCTGTTAGGGGGGAGAATTCCACACCCTTATAAACGGTGTTTTGTTCTCCTCCCCAACCAATATAGGACACCACAACGACCCTCTAATCTCTAAATCAATTGTAGAATACCTAAGCGAGGCACGTTGGCATTTTAGTCTTTTTTTATTTTATGTATGATAATTAATATTATTTATTTATTTGGTAGTAGATATTGATAGGAACAATGAACTTAGGTATCTCGGAACATTCTCCATTCTCCATTCTCCATATGCCCGCCAGCTGTAGAAGGGGTCGCAACTAAAGTTGCAAAAATAAGAGCTTTAGAAATTACAAGATCCGCCCTTCCTAATTCGAGTCTTGGCCTATAGACTGAACCCAAAATCTAATTTGACCCTTGGACCGGTCGCAAGGATTCGAGTAGTAGATAACTTTATTTTTTGTTTTTCCAAAATGTCTGGGAATAAATAAGTTTGGATGTATTTTTAATTAATTATTGTGATAAAATGTGTACAAATTAATTATTTTTTAATTGGAAAGGAAAGTTTGAATGGACAATGAGTCAACAAAGAAAGGAAATTGATGTACAAAACTTTTACTTTATTTGTGTAACGTTGAAAAGGTATAATGTTGTTTTATCCAACACTAACAAGATCTAAAAAACTAATTTTACTTTATTAGAAATTATATATTTTAGGAAAAGTTGCAAAAGAAACCACTATTGATTGGTTGTTTCAAGAGACCCATTGTCGTTGTCTCGCCACCACCGAAATAAGGGTCATCGTTGTAGCTTAGTCGCTAGTGGACCATCGTTGTTTCAAGTGAAGAGGAAAATAGATTTATGTTTCGGATGAAGAAAAAAGACCCACAAGTGTTGGGTCGAGTCAGATGCAACCCACAAACATAACTCACGTTCCGTTCAACCCACCTGTTGTGTAACAACCCTAAATTTTTCTATTTAACCTAAGCCGGCTACTCTATATTTAACCTAACATTTAATGCATAATTAATTTAATGAACTTTTATCATAAATTCAAAATTAATCTCATACTTTTTTATTACTTTGAGAATAAACAAATACAAAGAAAAGAAGGAAAACATTACTAAATTAGATGCACAATACTCATCTATGGTCTATTAAATATAAATACGACTCAACTTATATTAATTTATACTTTATTAAATGCAAATAAAACTCAACCTATATTTTATTAAATGTAAATATAACTCAACCTATACTAAAATATACTATAATCAAATGTAAATACAATTAACCTATACTAACCTATACTATTAAATTTGAAATGTGAATCTATATTGTGCATGTATCATGGTCTTGGGGTTGCGATGCCTCCATCAGCCTCATAGTGATGTCTTCCCTTTATTTGAAAAATGTAGTAGCACGAAGCTTGAGTATTTTAAAAATACTCAGTAAGTGACTCCCTATCGGGGTTATGATGCAAGGACATGCAAATGCAATGACAAGATCTATCATAACAGTCTATTTTTCTACGGTACTATCCTAACGGACAGCTTGGATGTGTACTTTATACTCTACACATGGTCCACACGTGTGAGTGTGGACCCACCAATTAGTTCATACACCGATGAGCCCCTTTTTTTGTCGGGCGAGCATGCTCTGGTAACTCTCTATGTCGGACACCCGTTAGAAGTAGTAGTCCTCACGGCAGCATTATATAAAACATAATGGTCGTTCTCCTGCTTAGTGGTGTATGCGTCCGTACCATCATGAAGGAATGGGGTATCCTCCAATGCATGAGCACATATTAATGCATGAGATTCCAATATTTTTTTCATTTTCAACATTATTAAATATGACTCCCGCTATCATTGTATTTATATCATACCATTTCTCATATTAGTTATTATATCGTTCATGCTTATGTTTGGGTTATATTTCATGCTATTTATCGTTCTTCATGTCATTCGTTTCATACTATACATGCAATTCACAAGACATAACATAAGGTTTTCATCTTTCACATATCAGTTCATAACGTGCAAATCATACAGTAAGTACCATAACAGTCACATAATGCAATCCAAGAATAAAATATCACATAACTTTATAACACATATCAATTCATTCATAACATTTACATATTAAATCATAACGGTTTAAACATACATTTTATGACATGTGTGGAACCACGGACGCGTGCCAGCAGACAATATACATACATAACCTACGACAATAGGGCGGCTTACTTGGTCCGCCTTAGCCGACGTACTCCCTAATTAATTTTGTTGAAACAAGAACCCTTGAATTAAAGAAATTAACACCTCCTTATACAAAATTCTGATCAACCAAGAGATAAAGCTATAAAAAGATTACTCTTAAAATCAAAGATCTAGAAGTAAGATTTGGAACCTTGTTCTAAATTGAGTCACTCCATAACCAAACTTGATCACTGTATGATATGTATATATATGATGAAACGTTATGTTAAAAGTATGGAATGTTATGTTAGGTCTCCTAAATTGTATATATACAACATAATATGAATGACATGAAATCACCGGTAAATGACATGAAATATAACACTATTAGAATTATGTATAATATGAAGATTGAAAAATGAGAAATGATATGATATAAATGAAAAACGGCAGTAGAGTTATATTTAATAATGTTGAAAACGGAAAAATATTAGAACCTCATGAATTATGTGTGCTCATGCATTGGGGATACTCTTATTCCATCACGAGGGTACGAATGCATACACCACTAGGCATGTGAATTATCATTATGTTTTACATAATGTTGTCGTTGATGGTTACTAATTCTAATGGGTGTCCAGCATAAGGAACTACTAGAGCAAGCTCGCCCGACGAGAAAAAGGGTCCACTGGGGTGCGAACTGACAGGTGAGTCCATACTCACACGAATGGGATGTGTGTAGAGTATATAGTACACATCCAAGCTGCCTGTTAGGATAGTGTCATAGGAAAATAGACTAATATGATAGGTCTCGTCATTGCATTCGCATGTTCTTGCATTTAACCCCCAATAGTGGGATCACTTACTAAGTATTTCTTTAAATACTCAAGTCATGTGCTACCTCTATTTCAGGTTAAGGCAAGGCGTTCCTATACGGCTGACGACAACATTGCAACTCGAGACCATGTCACATGTGTAGGGTAGTGATATTTATTTTCTTAGACTTAGGCTAGAATATGATGTTTTTAATTTAAACGTTTATTTATTTTATTTAGTCTTTTGTTGTGTAGTTTTTTTAAAGGTGTTTTCAAAACATATAAGTCGTATTTTAAGATGAAGATGACATTTTATGAGAGTTTAAATGAAGTATTTCCACATTCAATGTTGATGATATGTATACAGGAGTGAAATCGTCAGCTATCTCGAACACACACAGACTACCTACAAAAGAGAGAAAAAATGGAGAGAAAGGGGAGAGAGGAGAAACCCGATGAAACTCCGGCGAGGGAAAAAAACCAAACGCAACCTTCAATTTACGCCACAAAAAATATCTCAGAGACCTATACACACACCGGGGACAAATGTCAACGCTCCATACTCGACCTACACCCTCGAAAAAGAAGGATCTACGTTCGGCCTTTGTGTACCTTCTCGGATATGAAGATTTGGACCTCTATGAACCAAACCAATGCCATAAAAGGGAAAGAGGGAGGAGTATTTCAAAGAATACTTAGTAAGTGACCCCACACTAGGGGTCGTGAAGGGATGCAAACACATGCAATAATGCTCTAGGGACCTATCATTAAAACATACTAGGGATCGCTTCCAATCCAGACTAAATTGGATATGCAGTACTTCCCTACACACGACCCACAACTGCAAGCTTGAATCTTCAGGTGGTTCAAACCTTCCTAGACCCATCATAGTCGAGCTAGATATTCATAGCGACATTTGAAGGTCAGCAGACCCCTGTGTGTCATGTTTGGTATGATCACCATCATCATCATAGCGTACGCGTCTATACTCATCATTATAAAAGGGAAAGTATCCCGATGCTTATGTACATACAGAAGTGCATGAGGTCTCTATAGTTTATCGTCTTTAAAACACAACCCTAGTATCATCCTTACATTAGTATTAATAATATATGTGCATTAGCTTTCCATCTTAACCTCATAAAATAATATTTTGTAGGGTTGTGTCCTAGGCCGAGTAATCGACATAATGCAATATGACATTCACAACATGCATCTCAACTTAATAGGAAAAATACATCAAATTAAGGACATCATGCATTGTCATAATCATACATTATCATCATAATGTTATGGAAATACGTCATAATAATCATAACACATCATTAAACATCATCATACATCATCATACAACTCATACATGTCATTATACATCATAGATCATATGTCATACATCA